ATTATATAATTCATATTAAATTGTTCAGTTAATCAGAGTTTGGAACCGGTTTTATTTTTTATAAGTTAAATTCGGTTTTAATCGGTTTTAACATATAAAAAATAAAACTGGTTCCAAACTCTAAGCTAAACATAGTCTCTAAGTCCTAATCACATAAAAAGGCTCACATAATAACATTATTGTTTGCAGAGTTAAAAGGCTCTTATTTTTTTTATATCAACATATCAAGTTTAATTATTTAACTTATCATAAAAAACCCAAAGTTCTATTATCAAAACACCACAAGCTCCAATGGCAACCACCGGTAAAACTCCAAGGTTCCATTTCACAAACTGCCAATACCCAATTTTTTCGTTTTTATCTTTTAATATTTTATCCCACCTATTTTTAAAAAAAAAGAAGTTAGTTTCGAATGCTATCTCTCTAACATTTCTATTTTCCAACGTATTTTCTTTTTCTATTTCTTTTTTCTATTTTTTTTTAGTTTTTTTTTTTTTAGTATAAACTTACATTAATCCAGCCAAAGCGCCTACAATCGTAAGACAAGCACCTATGTTACTTCCGATAATTAACGCGTATATGCATCCTTGTTTTATTGCGGGATCTTGTATTATATGTGGGGCGTTTGTAAAATTTTCATTTTGCAATATTCGACTTAATAATACTGTCATTGGTAAATTATTTAACAAATTGCAGAGAATGATTGATATTATAGCAATGGAGATGACAGCAACTGGATACGAAGGCGTTAGTACTGAAATTGCACTTGCAAATATGGAAATCCATCCTAGTGTTGATAACGCTTTTGAAAAAAAAAAAAGAATTTTAGTCATGTAAGGAGTCTAAAATTTAAGATAAAATGAACGATTAATATAGATTTATTTTCTTACCTTCAACTAGAATAAACATCCCTAACGTAAATGGCAATAAATTTCCCGGCATTCTTATTATCACAGAATAAACAGTCGGTAAAGTATTTTTAAATGCATTAAATATTGACTTATCGTTATTATTATCTAATTTAATAGCATGAGGTTCTGGTGTTGTTACTTCCATATAAGATAAGTTATTTTCCCGGTTTGTGTCTGAATCATATGATCCGGGGGATAAATTATTTTCTCGGTTTATGTTGTCTGAATCATATGATTCGGGAGATAAGTTGTTTTCTCGGTTTGTGTTGTCAGAATCGTATGATTCTTCTTTTGATAAATGAGATTTTTTCTTTTTAGAGTTTAAACTTGACAACGGGACACTACGCGGTGTAATAGAACATTCTGATTTTTTTCTTTGTGATTTAAATGGGAAATGAAATGAGTTGTTTTTCATTGTTTTTTCTTTTTCTGTTTCATTATTTTCATCTAAATCGTTATTTAATGAATTATCA